CTTGTTTATCGTAACCTGTAACTTAACAAACCAGACTAGAGTAAGCTAACGATGACCTTAAAGGCCGAATAAGTCATGCTTGCTTCCATGTCTTTAGCATCTTGTAATAGATAAACACATTGTTCAAACGATTCCTTACACTTTTCCTCTGGTGTACTTGGTTTTAGAAAGTCCTAACACCCTCCAAACTCTTTGAATGCCAAGTTAGCCTCTTACATTTAAAGTCAGAATTAAGTTATCTGGAGTAAGGAACTAGATTAGCTTACTTTAGCTAAGGGTGTTGGTACGTTTTCTTTCCTCTGGGATTTGCTTCCTTTAATGTTTTTAAATGTCCTGATTTAGCACACGGTCAGGTTTGATTTGTCGCATCTTATTACCATAACAATTTAATTTATTCCAGTCGCGCCTCCCAACACCAGAATTTAATTTGTGCAAAACAGGGTGGGCCTAAAGGGTGTTCTCTCAGTTTGGCAGTTTCCTGGACGCCACTTACGCTGATAAGATGTATTAAAAGAATCCTGCCAAGTGTAGGGAAAGAACGGCCAGTAAATCTTCAGTTAAACCTGAAGCTCTCTTGCTATGCCAGCAGTGTAGAGGACAAAGGAGACCATGTCCATCTTAAGTACGCAGCCCAATGTATCTGCCCTCAGAGTGGAGCTCCTCACTCCTTTAGTTGAAGAATAAACACGATGTCCTTTATTAAGGGGACACAGTCAGGAGACTTAACATGCATTCTTTCCCATCAAAAGAATCTTCAGTATGACTAGAGCACACACAAACTAATCAATAACTTAATCAAATCGGTGAGTCACAGATCAAAACACCCCCGCTAACAGCTTCAAAGGCTTACAGCTGTCAATCATCTTCGTACAAAGGACACACTGTGTTGATAATGATGATCAGGATAATAAACACTTAACCTTTCATCTCTGTTCTTTCTGGATAATTTCCTGAGACTTTTCTAGGAGGGTTCCTGGAAATTAACCAATCGTAAAATACAGGCAATTATTCAGTGTCAGTTTGTTAATGGAACAGGTGTATAGAACAGCTGATGAAATGAATGCTTCATTTACATACATCTTGCAGAAAATACAAGATTATTATTTCAGTGGTAGCCTTTCAGTGTGTTTACATTCTGTAATCCCTTTCTATAGAGTAGCTATCAGTAAGTGTAGTAGAGCTCACATTTCTCACACTTTATTCAAATTGCCTACCTACGCTAACCGACAATGTGGTTTGTTTTGGTTTTGTCAGCTGCTCTTCTGCTGTATTTCTGGAATCTTTTATAGAAAAACATACTTAAGGAAACAACCGGTAACTTCAGGTGGCAACAAATCAACAAGGACTCATATCTCAAGGACTTTTAATTGACCTGAAATTGTTATCTATTCCATAAATGCTGTAATTAGCTTGATTCTGAGCCGTGTGCCTAGTTTTTTCAAGCAGTAGCTGGCATGACAGACTACTTAGCATGTTCAAAAGTAGACATACTAATCATGTGGCCATAAACAACTAATCAATTGATCAATACATGTAATTTGATAAGTTAACCTGCAGTAACCAGCCCTTTTAACCAGTTTTATTTCCCACAAAAACCCAGTCAATATGCATAGCTGCACAACGCTGCTCTCTCCAAGAAAGATCTGCACAATCTGAAGACTGTATTTGCTGCTTGTGCATTTTTCCAAACGATTCCTTTTCTACTTGCAGCGATTCATTAAACGCTAATCATTACAAAACAGCCATCTGCTGTATTATTACTATTTAATGACACACACACTGGTTTTCTTGGAGGGCTTGATTTTGCAGTGCTTCCTTTGCCTTAAAGGGGACCTATCATGCAAAATGCACTTGTGTACGTCTTTTCTACATGAATATGTGTCCCCGGTGTTCCAGGGAACTCACCAAGTGTCAGAAAACACAACCCTCTCTATTTTCCTCCATACCCAAATCTCTAAAAAAGGGGCTGCAACGGATCTGATAAAAACTGATCCAGATTTGAACACTGTCCTGACGTCAGGACGGTGGCGCTACGGCTATTGGGCCAACTCCACCAATCAGGAGGAGACAGCCACGGCCATTGCCGTTCGAAAGCGCTGGAGACGCTGTAGTACATATGCCAGGCCTGTAGATGGTGCTGTTCTCACAGAATGATGAGTCACAGCATGATAGGTCCACTTTAAAGTGGACCTATCATGGTATATTTAAATGATATATTGTAGGGCCATACCTATATAAGGTATATTTATACGTTTCTGTTTTCAAAATACCAAACAGATCATGCATTTTAGCCATGCCTCATTTTGCTCAATTTGACCATTTCTAGCTCTGTTTTAGCAAGGGCAGATTCTGTGAGAACAGCACCACCTACAGGCCTGGCATATGTACTACAGCGTCTCCAGCGCTTTCGAACGGCAATGGCCGTGGCTGTCTCCTCCTGATTGGTGGAGTTGGCCCAATAGCCGTAGCGCCACCGTCCTGACGTCAGGACAGTGTTCAAATCTGGATCAGTTTTTATCAGATCCGTTGCAGCCCCTTTTTTAGAGATTTGGGTATGGAGGAAAATAGAGAGGGTTGTGTTTTCTGACACTTGGTGAGTTCCCTGGAACACCGGGGACACATATTCATGTAGAAAAGACGTACACAAGTGCATTTTGCATGATAGGTCCCCTTTAAGGATAAACGTAAACTCTCCTCCTTCCTCTATAGCTGCTCCTGGTGTCAGCTCAGTTGGGAAAGGCTGACTGACGTCTCCCATCTCAATTTGGGGAGGCCACATGTTCACAGTGACTTAATGTGGAATGAGTTTATTTTGCAGGATATGTAGGCGTAGGTGTCATCCTAACGCTGAGAGTCATTGTGTGGAGCTGCTGTATGTGTGCACAGCTCGATAGGGCCGGAAATTAATCTCAGGCATTATTCCGTTCATTAAATTTAACTCCCTCTGCGAAACACAATAACAGAAGCAGGACTATGAGATAAAGGGATGTGATGGAGGGTTACAGCACCTCCTTAAAGAAAGATAGATAGATAGATAGATAGATAGATAGATAGATAGATAGATAGATAGATGGGTACTTTATTGATCCCAATTTGGGAAATGTTTGGGTTGCAGCAGCATAAAAAACAAGGCAATGTACATAAGAGAAATTAAGACGTGAAATGAAATAGAAGGACAAAATGTGAATGTATACATTTTTGGAATGATTATTAATAACTGTAATTACAACTACTGCAAATATGTTTGCTATTAGACGGTTTCTGATTTGAAGGAGTACGAATCTGCATGCTTGATGTGCAGAGTGCCCTTTACAGCAAATCTCTGAGCCAGCAATCATGTGAGGGAATAATCTAGCATTAGCTAAACCCTCTGTGAATTTGTATCTGGCTCTTTGTTGGCAAAAAGACAAAGCCAAATCCCTGCAAAGGCCACAAAAAGAGCCCGCATGGAGTTATCAAGTCGAATAAGAGACAGTAAATGACTTTGACGGGATGTGACCGGCATCATTGCTATCTTGAAATGAGATTCTCTTATGATCAAAGAGATTTTCTGTGAAAAGAAAGGAGGTCAGTTAAAGGTACCATCTGGCAAAGCCTAAAGTCCTATTCTCCATTCAGGGAGACATTTCTCATGGTTTGTGTTTGTTTGTAACATATCATACATATTTAACCGATCGAAGTCCAGGTAAATAAGGAGATGACCTCTGTTGGATGAAGTCATTTTGACCAGAGGAAGTCAGGTGGTGTACTATGAAGAGCGTATGGAGGTCAGGGTGTCAAGACTTTCGCCCAGTTCACCTCTGATAGTGTGAAACGTTTAGTCGACAGTGACTCATTATTCACTTGTGTACATAAATAACCTTACTTAAGCACTTAACGAAACGAACATCATGTACAGTCGGCTAACTTAATCAACATACAGTACGTGCTGAACTTTACTCGGGTTCATATGTTAAGTTATGTCACACACTTTAACCCAAGTCATGTTCTTTGAGACCAAGATAACATGTTTCCTTTGATAGCTAGTCGATATGGTGTTTTAGTTGAAAGGGATTGTGATATTTAGAAGTAGTTTGTAGTGTTTGTTGAGCTTCCAGATCATGCAATGTGCCTCATGACCACAAACAGACACCTATTTGTATTCACAACTCTGATCCACCTTTAATTTGTTTGTATTATAACCAAATGCTGGGTGCTATGTGTGTTACAGCGACACAGTCTCTTCAAAGAATTGGTCAACAAGTATGAAGGTTGGCATTACTTGTTACCTTACTGTGAAGCGGTCTTGTGATTTTTCGCTCAAAGGGAATGTTTACATCGGTCACATGAGGGGCCTGAAGTTGTTCTACATTACAGCACAAACAGCATTATGAACTTTGATTTATTTCACCATGTGTATATGTTCACTACTTGGACTCTGGCTTTGTGTGAAACTCTGCATTGCTCCATGTAGAATGGGAGCTCTACTTTGTTCGTTCAAGACAGCAGAGTGGGACTATTTCTGCGTCTGTGAAACCCTGATAATAACCAGCTCTCACTGTAGCCTACTGTGCTGAAGCAGCTTTTTTCAAACATGCTCGCTTGCCTTGAAGATGCAGAACTGCACAAAGCACAGCAGCACAATCTAAATTCAATTACAAAAGCCATCTGAGCATGCAAGTTCTTCTATTTCTAATTAAAACCTTTATTTTGAAGTGCTGCTTGGATTTCAATTCTCCTTTTTAATGCTTTGGTAACTTATCTGAGGTGCACAAAGGATTCATGCACCCTCATACAACAGTCAGACAAAGACCTTTAGCTGCCATATAGACACATTATGTATAAATCCCTGATTAGACTTCCTATAAAATCCATCCTCATGCAGCCTGACAGCTCTCTCACCATCCAGCAGCCTGTAGTTGCTGTAGTGTAAAAAGCCTGCTCTCATATCCCACTCACATGCATGCCACTAAAGCAGAATGATGGTGTCACATCACATGTACAAATGAACGCAGCCTCAC